TTCTCAGACTTAACATTTCTTATGAAATTTTGACCTCTAACAAAACCTTAAAGTAATAAATTAATTGAAATATACAATTAAATTTTGGGAAGCTTCAAAATGGGTAACATAATTGATCATTTAAAAGCCAACATTTAGAATGAACAGCTAATAGACTTATAAAAATTAGGTAAATAATCAACAAAAATTTGGAGGAAAAATGATGAATATCTTTGTGTAATAATAAACTAAAAACTTGTTTGAGCATAAATATTCCATAGATACATTTTGAACAAAGAATTTTCAGATAAAACTAAATTAATTATTATTTAATGTGAAATTGATTTAACTCATTTATTAAGTTATAACAGTAGTTGTCAAATTTGTTCATAAATGTTTAAATTGAAAAAAAAAATCGCATTTAAATATATGATAACTTTAGAAAATCATTATTTTTTATTTCGATGACTAAAACAAATTTTTTAGTTATTTTTGTTGATGTATTTGTTGAACCGGTTTGAATCTTAATATTTTAAATAGATGCAAACAATTTTAAATCATTAAAGAAATTCTTTTGGAAATTTAATTACGTAATATTTTTTTTTGTTTACTGGGCAGCTATAGTTCAAAGAGGGGTAAATTACATTGACATAAGGCGTATATGCCACTCATCAGCTGAAAAAATAATTTAATATTTAGTGTCTTTTAATTATGAAAATTAAAAATTTAAAAAGAAACCTACCAATTTATAGAAACTTAAAGACTATTAAATTAACGAAATCTCTTAAAACTTCGCCAGGATTTAAATAAATACTATTGTGTTATTTAAACAATTATTTCGACTAAGTTTCAAAATCTTATAACTTCTAAACTTTTTTCATACGCTAAATGAAGCGATTTTGATTCATTTTCTTGTAGTTTGGATGTTTAAATTTTACATTTATAAGGACTGTATAATTTTTAACTTGCTTAAGATGTTTAAGTTTTTCATGATAAACATTTTAAATGATAATTTTTGTTAATATAAGGTTTTCATATTGAGAATACTTTAAAACTATACAAAATTTTCATCGTTATAATAAAAAAATACATTTTTTGAATTAGAAGAGTAATCTTATGTTTTTTATCTTTAATTAGTGTAAGCGCTCAGTCATAAATTTCTGTAATCTTATTCAAAATAAAAATCACATTATTTTATTAGGAAAATCGTTTTTGAAAGACTATTGTTCACATTTGCATAAACGTTTGTTCTTAACCTATTTTCCTTTTTTATAATTCTGCAGGGGTTATGTCACATTGTCTTTAGTAAGTGTGGAAACAATGAAATCGCGAATGAGAGAGATAGACATAACAAAAAAATTATATTTCCTACCAAAATTATAACTAAACGCGACGACATTTGAATACACAAAAGGAAAAGGGACTGACCACCAACGCACGCACTTTGAATTTATTATTCAATGGACCTTTTCGGTGGGTAAAAGGCCGGAGAGAAGAATCCTAGAATGAGGACAGAGTGCATTTGAAAGAAAGGGTTTGAAAAGGAAAGGGGTGCGTAAAAAAAGGTTGTATCTCTTTGGTTACAATAAGTAAAAAAATAATTTTAGAAGTTCATATTTTTTAATTTTTCTTTAACAAAAAAAATGTTGTTAAAGTTTTCTATTTATATATTTTTTATTGTATAAAAATCCCCAAGCAGAAGGTTCAAAAAGGGAAAATAAACTATTGTATGATAATAATTGTTGAATATATTTACAAAAAGTTTCATATTAGCACAACGTTGTGAGTCTTAATCCAATCCTTCTGCATTCATATGTTAAACGCTGACTATCTGTCATAATTTAAGAAATATTTTATAGGTAGACATTTAAATCATTTTAACGGTATCTGAATTCATAAGAATCATAACAACTCCTAAGTATGATAATATTTCAAAAAATCATGTCCTTAGCTGTATACCAGAAGAATTAAATCACTTGAAGCGTATCTCTCTTACAATTTAAATATTTTAAAGTAATAGCAATATAATTTTGCAATCAATGACGCCCATCCGTTAAAGTTTTGTTCGAATTGATAAATTATGAAAAGTTTAGAAAATTCGTTTTTTGTGATCACACTAAATCATTATCTCATCTTACACGTTAAGTTACTTAACACAATCACTCAACACCTTCAATAAAACACTATGTTTATCTAATATAACTCGCGTAATACTGCAAATTTCACTTTAATTAATTACTGTATACACCGACAAAGAAATTTTCGTTAAATTTATATTGCCTATAGTAGCTTTTTAGATAATTAAAATCGCTATGCAAACATCTACATTTTTTTCATGATGATCACATGAATTGATTCAATTTAAATAAATTTTAAATATTTTTACTTTTTTTTTTAAATTTAATTTTACAGTTTTAACACGAACTTGTTATTTATTTCACTATACAATGGAGTTAACGAATAAAATATATTTGTATTTGTTTTGCAAAATAAAAGTATGAAGCAGATTCCATTGTATTTTCAGTGTCCGAAAATGATGGCGTTTTTCTGCTTCAACAATTGCGAGTAACGCATAATAGTGCTCATGGTAAAAAAAGAAAAGTATGCGAAGATTCCATGTTTTGATAAATATGTTAGTATTGTATTAAAAAAACAAACAAAATTCTTCGTTTATACTTGAAAGGAAAAATGTAATAAAAAATTATTTGCTTTGAATATCTCCAAATGGATAACAAAATATTCAGTAATCTATATAATAACAAATTTTGAATTTATTTTCAAAATGACACAACATGTTTTACATGCCATTTAAGAGTACTAAATGTAATTTCTCTTATTCTATTTAAAATTTAAAAAATATTTGAATACATTTATTATAATATTCCAAATTTATTATTATTATATATTTAATGAAATAAATTTGTTTTACAAAACATAAATAATAAAATTCTTAATGTTTTAATTATTTTTATTTCAGCACTTGTAGAATTATATATCCTGAAGATACACATTATTATGTTAAAGTATTCATTTAAGTAAAACGTTCTTAACGCATATACATGAACACTTATATAAACTGTATTGATTATTTAAATCTACACACCTCTTTAATTTACTTACAGAAAATTTTACTTGCTCTTTCTTGTATTAAGCAAATTGGAAAGACACTAAACAATATATTTACCGTTTCATTATTTATAATTTTGTATTTTTTATTCGCAGAAAAATAAATCGATAAGAGGCTTTAACTTTTTGATAGGATTTCTCCTTGCATTAGGATTTAAAATATAATAACTAGAATATTATCAGTTTAATTGTAAGTACGATTTTACTATAATATTAACAGCTTATGCATAATAATATTTTAGTAACAATACTGTACGTCATAAAAGATTTTAATCCTTTCGCGGTAAATCCCTTAATTAAAAACTTACAACCATTTTTTTTTATCTCTGAGAATCTTTAAAGCGTCTTCAAAGAAACCGTTTCGGTTGCCATTGAAGACTTACTACAATATTAACCTTAAGTATTAACAATGAAAGAGCTATTTATTTTGATAACTATTAATAATATTAAGTATAATTATTGAAATCTTAAACAATACATAGTATTATAGATAAAAAAATACGAGGTTTAATGTTTTATTTAAAAAATAATATTGAAATATCCAACATTGTAGTTCCAAAATATTCTAGCTTTTTTAAACCCTTTTCAAGAAATTTTAAGAAGTTATTTTTAAGTTTAAGTTTTTTAATTTTACGCGTGATATCCTCTGACAGTTATGTGCAACTTTATTATTAGTTCTTTTAAATTAAAAATAATGCAACAGTCTTTTAAAAAAATCCTAATTAAAACGTTTTAAAAATGAATATTTATAACAATTAAAAATAAATTATTAATATCTGAATTAAAAAAAAAATGTGTTAACACGCTACTATTATAAATAATATATAAAAACCCAATTTCACATGTAATTACTATTGATGTTCCAATGCAATTATGTAGATATTTTCGAGTTGTGCAAATATTCTAAATCCGCAAAATGTTGACAGTTCTTCTAAGTAGGTCACGTAAAATAGGCAGTCGATCTAATTTATAACACTCATGTATAATAGATGCTCTTATTATAAATTTATTTCATGTGATGTAGTCAGATTCAATATTTTGTTCATTTGAATTAACATAACTTCACTTCTACGTTTACGCTTACACGGGAATGTGTTATTTCAATCAATGTTTGTGACATTTGTCGTTTGTTTAAGATACATAGTAATTATATTTATGTCTAATTTTCATACCAGCGCAGTCGTGAAAATATTTCATCTACTTTTAATCACTCAGCTATTTAAATATTCTATTGATACTAATTAAAAAAACTCTACGAAGACATTTTTTAGTAAAAAAATAGTAATATCGAATTATAATCAGAAAAATTGGTTATTTGAAAATTTAGCAATATACGATCATAATTTGTTAACTGTAAGCCAAAGGTAAATTTACAGGTTTTATTAAATAATTCCTATATAGCCAATAATTAATCAAATAAATATTATTGAAATTTTTCTTTTATTGTTTCATCGCGTTCCATTAGAAAGCAATCCCAAAACTAAACTTTTATATTTTTTTTTTACAAATTATTCCATTTTTATCAAGACAATATTTATAAACATAAATTTTTTGTTTCTCTAATCCATTTTTATTTCTATAAATATCCAATAATAGTTTATTTCATTTCGTCTTAGACTTAATATTTATCATGAAATACGTCTTTTTTAATAACTGAGTAATTCATATTTCTATTACCAATATATATATATATATTTCTAAAATGCCTAAAATTAATATTTTATATGATTTGAATCAAAAACCGCAACAGAATACAGCAAAGCATAATACAAAATAAATATTCATAGTTCAAAAAAATGACTAGACATTTGTTAGTAATTGATAAATAAAACCATAGAAAAACCAGAGTTTTATTTCTAGATATACATACTGTAACAAATATTATCTATTTGTAATATAAACTTTAGCATTCATTTCATCAATGTTTTATCCAAATGCAAATTTCATGTTTTTGATCTCATACCGTTCTTTTTCTTTTACCGTATTATCTTCCATCATAGATATTGTTTGCCATAAAAATGCTTAAATCATAACATTATTTATAAATATATGTTAAATAAATTAAAACTTTTCCAGAGAAACAATAGTAATGTTTACCATCCAACACATTTTCCGTTATAACGACTATCATATTTCATGGCCATCAAATTTATAACTTTTTCTTTTAGTGTAATTTTGGTATTCTCAACCCTTAGAAATAAAAAAGTAGTACATCAGACTAGCCTGTTCCGATCATGGACGCAACAAAAGCAAAAATACAGGGGGTGCTTTATTATGTAATGCTCACAAACCCGCGGGGTTACACCCTACACCTCCTAATTGTATTTCTTAAATAATTACTTAATAAAACCAATTAAAAATAAAAAACAATTTTAAAACTCAGATCAAGTCCGCGTGTCATATGGCATTAATATTTAAAAATGTTTTTATATTCATTAACGTGTTATTTTTATATTTTTTTATTAAAAAAAAAATACAGTGTGTATATAATACATAATAAGTATTTAAGATAAAACAATATATACAAAAAAAAAAGCTTCGAAAGTCTTGCGAAGAGTCCATCCAATGACGGAACTCCTACTAACATTAACTTAATACAAGTTTTATATTAAATAATTAAGGATGAAGCCTATTACAAATATAATAACATTTATAACTGAAGGAGGACTCTATACCAAGATTTTTTAAATCGGCAAGGAGGTTTGTCTGGGATAGAGAGTGAGGATAGATTTTTAATAAGAGGATCTGGATGATGTTGGAGACGGTTGTGAAAGTGATTATAACGAGAGATAGCAGTTTGTTTTACAGTAGTAATGTGGAGGTCTTTGTGAATTGTTTTGTTTGATATATAGAGTGGAGCGTTAAGAATTTGACGAAAGCCTTTGGATTGTAAACCTTGAATTTTGTTAATATTTGATTTTTTCGCTGCACCCCACAGCTCAATACCGAACGATCGCATCGGTTTGATAAAGCTTTTATATGTTATGAGTTTAATGTGCAAGTTAGTTATGGCATTTTTGTGGAATAATGGTTGGAGTATTCTAAGCCGTTGGTTTACACTTATTATTTTTGCATGAATGTGTGGCGACCAGTTAAGTTTACTGTCGAAGATAAGATCAAGATATTTAACATTATTTGAAGAAGGAACAGAACTGTCATTAATAAAAACTTGGGGGGGGATTGTTATGACAAAGAGTAAAAGTAATATGAGAGGATTTATTTTCGTTTAGCATGACTCGCCATTTCTGGCACCAATCGTACATGCAGTTTAGGTGTAATTATAGTTGAGCAGCAGCAATGTTATGGTTTTATGAATTGAAATAAGTACTTTGTCATCCGCATAGTCTGCCACCTGGATATTGACAGTTGTTGGTTGGTCAGCAGTGTAAATATTAAATAGTAAAGGGAGGCTATTGCACCTTGGGGAACGCCGGATTTTATTAGATGTAAAGGGGAAATTTGTATGCCGACTTTTGTTGCAAAGGTGCGGTCTTCCATATAGGACTTATAAAAAATGAAATAGGAAGGCGGAAGAATGTCACGGAGTTTGAGTAGAAGGCCTCGATACCAAACTCTATCAAACGCTTGTGAGATGTCAAGCATTACAGAAGAACAATAAAGTTTGTTTTCCAAACAAGAGGCATTAACGTGTAAAACGAGTATTTAAAGTGATTATTTCCCAGTAATTTCAAATGTACATAAATGAATTTACATTTGATATCAAAGTTAATGCTATGAATTCTCGTTTTTTTTGATAACGTTGCGAGTCTATATTTTTAATATATTTTGTTGGTATAAACCATAGGATATTACTGAATGGTATAAACTTAGGATTCGCCTTATCATCATATTTTTAGTGAATACAAAAATAACCACAAACAATTTTTAAATTGCTTTAAAAATGTTTTTTACTTTATATATTTACTGTCAGCTACTGATAATAAAAATCCTTCGTGAAATAAGAAAAAGTTATTTTCACATAATTTGATTGTGGGTGCCGAATTAGAGATTGAGGTGTTGCAGCACCCCCCTAGTTGTGCACATGATTCCGATCATTGAACTTTCGAGTTGGATCGAACTGAAACAAAAATGTCATTTGATCGAACCGAATCAGACGTTTACTTAAAGCACAACAAATCAAACTAGACTGGTAAAAAGTTACAAATAAACTTTTAATTTTCAATGGATATTGTTCATTTTAATTAGCTAGAAATGTTTGAACAAAAAATATAGTATTTCGTTATTTAAATTAATTCGAATAAATTAAAATTGCATTTCATTGTAAATCAATTATTACGTTTACTATGATTATTTTTAATAAAATGGGTCAATAAAATGCAAGAGGTAGAAAATGAAAATACCAATTAATTCATGTGTCCTTGCGGCCGCCTTGTGCTCTACATATCAAGTTTGAACAACTTAACAGTTGATATACTTGATATTGATATTACAACAGTGTATGATGAGTTGCATAGTTTGCATACTGTTATAATATCCGTTTTCACGTCACACATAAATACCCCCAACCACATGAGTAAGTGCATAAGCATGTCAATCGAGACAACGACGATAATCTGATGAAATACTAAACAATTAAAAGGGATAACGTTCGTTTAGAGACCTTTAAATAATTGTGAGTCAACAAAGTTCATAATAATTGATAAACCATTATCATTCTATACTTTCAAAAGACAGGTGATGATTTTTTGAAAGACTCTTTTTTTAATTCTTTGTAATAAAATATCGTTATAAGTTTTATAAAAAGTTGAATTTCCATTAAAATGTACAATATTAATTATAATTAATAAAATAATTTTTTTATGAATAATTCTAAAATTGATTTATAAAATTTTTAATTTATCAATCCCAATCTTACTCAACTCTATATAAATAACTTCATGCACATTTTTCTTTTTATGATTTTGTTTGCTTCTATTTTAAATTTTATTTTCCAGTAAGTTTCCAGTGGAAATTAAATAACGCGATGAACTAAGAAATAAAAATAAATTACAATGCAACGAGAAAATGAACAAAATATATTGTATAACTTAACGTTAAAAAAAAAACAAGAAGTAAAAAATGTAATCTTCTATGCCTTTTAGGTTGTTGCTTTAAATTACCGTCCGACACTTCTTATTACATTCACGAAGAACAAAAAAAATTGAACCTTAAGTAGTCTGGGCAACAGTAGCGAAGATACAAAAAAAAGTAAGGGAGGAAAATTACTTTAATGATTAATAAACATTTTAATTTCTGTACTGGTAAAGGTTAATAATTATATTGATATTTAAGTATAATAGTGAAGGTAAAATAACAATAATTGAATCATAGTGTTATTTATTTCTAACGATGGTTTTTTCTTCGAGATACCAGAAGACCAATGGTTTTTTCAGTGGACCAAAATAACCTATTTAGTCGTAAGAATTAGTTTTTAAAATCCTTTATTTTTACTTATCGCTTTATTTAAAAATAATATAAGCCTTATTTTAGGTAATTTTTGCCCCCGTCAACCCGCTTATTAATGGCTATTGATATTAGTAAGAGCGGTGAAACAAGTATGCAGACAAAACTAAAAATACTATTTTTAGTAATCAAAACTGATTATATTATTAATGCAAAAATACTGAAAGAATATTTAATACCTAACTGCATATCATCCAACAAATGGCAATAATTACTCTACGAACTACTATTTTATCATACTTTCTGATCTATTTAGTATAAAAGCTATTTTACATTAGTGAAAAATCATCATTCCATTTTTGTTAGTAAAAATCATTTATTTATTTAAATGCTCTTTTTTTTTAATGGTTGAATGTATATTAAATTTTGTTTCTATATCTGAATATACGATTACCTTTGAATGGAGTAGTTTGCATTAACAATTAGTGGTATAAATTTAACGTCCATAAGTAACTGTAATCCTTTTTATGCACAGCGTAAAAAGGACAAGGTCTATAATTTAAGTTAAAAACATTTATTCGTGACATTTCAGCAATCAATGTTTAATGTTTAGTCAATTGATAATTAATTCAAATCTTTAACTTACAGCCGTCTACCTGTAATTAAAAAAAAATCTTTGAATAATTAGCCAGTCTATGTCTAAACTCATATTTTATACATTAAAATTGCTTTAGTTTCAAAGTTGTTTTTATGTACTTAGTATCCCTCAATTTTTCCCACATTATACTTTTGGCTTAAAGTTGTGTACTAACGTACCTTCTACAAACTTGCCTTTACGAAAACTCTTAATGCATATATATAAACTTTGTAAATAGATTTCTGAGATAAATTTATCTAAGAGCAAGTAATTAACTTTAGTCAAATATCAAGGGCACGCAAGCAAAATAAAAATTAACAGGGACTTAATAATAATTAGATGAGGCAAATGAAACACTAATAGTGTTAACACTAAATTATGGTATTTTTATTGATTTGAATTCGTATTCTAAATAACTTAACTAAAATAGACTAGATTTAAATATTGACCATAACCTTGAATGAAAATATAAACGATAAAAGGTTATATGACAATAATTATCGATATATGAGTTACTTTATTGTTTTAAACCAATGTTTATACTCAAAAATCTAAATCAGAAAAATTAATCTAATATAAATTTACTTTAGTAATGGTGTTATTTCTCATTCACTGGTCATTATTAAAATGAAAAAATGAACTGATGATGCATATATTAAAAAAATGTATACAAGGTCCGATAGTTTATGTAAATAAATGAAGGAATTTATCCTTTGATTAAAAAAAAAAACATGAAAAATTAAAAATTGTGCAATGAAAAAACTATAGAATCTCTGATAACTTTTGAAGTAAATTAAGCCTACAAATAAATCTCAATGGATATTATTTTTTTAATTAAAAACAAAACTTCTCACCTATGTTTTCTTCTATCATTCACTTTAACTATAGAATTGACTGATAAAAAAATAAATAAATATAATGATTTATACATTACACAAAGTTCTATCGAGAGTAGATCACTATTTTCAACAGAAAATTTCATTTAAATAATAAAAATAGTAACACAACACAAATGATTTTTGTTTTTAGGTATATTTTTGTACAAAGTAATGTAATTTATTTATATTAATAAACTTCAATGAACTATTTAAAATGTAAACAAATTGTTTTATAAAACATTACGAAATATTAATTACACTCAAGTACAGGAGCAAAATATATGTCGAATGTATAGCATGTACATATTTTATTTTTAAATAATAAGGTTATGCAATAATGCAGTCAGTAACAGAAACTGCTATGTTTCAACAATTAGTTTTTTCAATAAGAAGTAAATCAAATAGAATTTTTAATAACTTGATGATTGAACTCAAAATACAATCCAAGTTAATCACTAATTATTTTTTGTGGTCACCTCAAAAGGTTTGTACGATTCGTAAGATAGAATGAAAATTATTTACAAACACATAACAGTAATTTTCAATTTTGAACAGCCAAAATTATTTCGCGTACATTCATATACGTGTTAAATCTATTTTGACTGGTAGATTTCATGAATGGTGTCAAAAAAGAAAAACATGCGTATGAAGTTTTAAGACTATGAAAAGTGCTTTACATTTCTTTACTCTCAATAAGAAATACAACTCATTAAATTTGTTTTTCCAAAAAATCTACTCTTTGGCTGAGGAGCAACGTGTGTTTATAATTTCTACTACTTTTAATTGTATTGAAAGCATTTACCAACTAATACTAACTAGAGTGCAAAGTTAATTTTATTGAATCAGTGCGTAAACCTCCATTGTGATCAGGTGATTGTTTATGAAGCCTGTTGATGTCTTCGCTTGATATTAAAAGAGCACAAAACAAACACTCGTATTATGTTATTAAAATCGTTGAGTTACTCTTCCGCTTGTTGGGAAGAAAAACATTAAGTATTAGAGTATTGTTGTCCAAAATTTCAATGTATATACTATGCACAGTGTTAAAAAATAAACAACTGCTGTTAATTTTATTACATCAATGGGTTGTTATAACTGTGTGTATGTCCGGATTTTAGTCATCGCTATTTATTTGCTTGTTACTATAAGTATGAGTGTGTATAAAAAAATGTAAAATTAAACAGAGTGAAATTCTACAAAATTGCTGACATACAAAAAACGTACGGGAGTTTTTGCTTGTGCTTGTTTGACCCAACGGACAATAATTGAATTCGCGTTTATTGTTGAGTTAGTGTTACGATTATGATGGCTGTCAATTAAAATAAAAACCGAAAACAACGCGATCGGTTTTTTTGTTCGAAATAAATGATTCATTCTCCATTACAATATATTTCCACATCAATTATTAATAAATAATGGATATAAGAATAATTGCCATAGTTTTACTGACTTTTTTATATGGTCTACAAGTGTTAGGAAATGTCATTGAGCGTAACGGTAAGCTAAAATATGTCTAATTATTATAATATCCTTCACTAAGTATTCATCTTATAAAATATTCATTTTCAAACCTTACGTTTTCCTTAGTTTAACTTAAAATTAAAAGTAATGATGGCAGTCATCATTTATTTAAGAATATACCAAATACAAATAACGATAAATTATTCAAATTTTTTAACAGCATTTTCGAAATTTTAGGTAATATTTTTGTGAAATCAAATAGCTAATTACTATTATTTTTTTTAATTGTTTATAATCTTAAACACTTTTTAAGTTTGGACTGGAATTGAATTATGAAATCATTTTTTTTTATCTTAAAAAAAAGATACAATCAATATAAAATATACAATATGTACTGATGATAAAAAATATTATATATTATTTATTATTAATATTGTATGGAAATAACTTTGAAAAAATAATAACTTCTGGAGAGGCCGTCCAGTGACGAGACTCCGACTGATTTTAATAATTTAGTAAAGATCTATTATAACTTAATTAATTTTACAACTGAAGTAAATTCCTACTCCAAGATCATTTTAGGCGATGTGGAGGATTATCAGGTATTTTTGTGAGGATAGGGTTTTAATGAGAGGATTTGGATAATTTTGGAGTCTGTTATGGAAGTTTTTACATCTGCTATTTGTTTTACGGTAAGGAGTTGGAAGTTATGGATAGTTTCATTTAATATCTAAGGAGGGTATTATGAAATAATAATATTATAATATATTGAAATTTAAATGATTACCTACTGAACTTCTTGGTTATCAAATATGTATATCTTAATTTGAAAGTTAATAAACACGTGTATATATTTATCTATAGTTTTAAGTAAATAAATATTTTACCATTTAGAGAATTCAATTTTATTTTTATAAGTTCATTTCTAAACTTTGTTTGATGTTTATTCTTTTTTAATATTACTATTTAATGAACTATTAATTTAAAAAAATGAATAGTTGGTAATAATTACCCGAAACTACATAAGAAATGAGTTGTATATAACATTGAATGAACTAATTAAGATTTTTTTTTTAATTTCATTTCTTTAAATTTCTTAAACGAAAAATTTAGTAAAAATATTGATATATATTAATACGAAAATTCATACTATAAACACCTGTTGAGTAATAAACTCCAAGTATCCTTCTGTATTAACTAGTTAGTTATTACCATAAAAAATCTTGTATTAAAAGCATTTTACTGACTATTAGTTCTAATATATATCAAAAGAAATTGTTTTAACTAACTGTCTTATTTTAATTTTATCCAGTTAACTTAGATAAGAGTATCTATATATAGTTTTATAATACATAAATGTATATGGATTTAATTTTTCTTTTATTTAAAATTTTTAAATGTATCCATATCAAAGGTTTAGATACATCAAAGTTCTAAATGTTTCTGATTTTACTAAAAAAATTAAAGTATTTGACCCGAGGGAAATTTGAAGGCTTACAAACTAACTTTTTTCAAACTAAAATAATGTCTGAAGATAAAATATAAAGGTAAAAATATTAAAATATTAGTACTACCTTAATTTAAAGTTCATATATATATTCTGACATATAAGTTTATAAAAATGTTTGTACTTCAGGTATAATATTTAGATACAACCAAATCTGTAAAAATTATATTTGGCAAATTTAAATAATTTTTATAATTTCGTTTATTCAAATTAAAATTTTAATAATTGCATGTTTACAAGTATAATAAAATGTTTTTTTGAAGTATTAAATAAATAATTATTTTTTATTAATTAAGTTTATTTTATTTTTCGAGGAAAATATTTTTTAATAAATAAATTAAAAAAATTATTTTCATAACACAAAAATTAATACTACATTTCAATTCCTAAGAAATTACTATTCTTTTTCTGAATAATATCTAAAAAATTTAATTGCTTATGCTAAGTTTTGACCAAAAAAAATTTTTTTAATGCAAAAATTGACGTGTATAACATATGATAACTATCAATGTAGCTATGTTTTGATATGTCAAAGTAAATATTATCTATAACTGGAAAAAAGATAACGATTGATTACTTACAATTATATTTGTATAGCCAAATAAGAAATATTAAAAATAATCACATCTCTTTATTATTTTACAAGTGTTTTTTTTTAAGTCATCACTAAACGAGTAACTCGATTTATATTTCAGTGACAGATGAGTGAAATTATATTATATCATCATAATTGCAAATAAAAAATTAACTTTACAATTTTTTATCATTTAATACTAAAAAAAATAGAGAACAATAGATTTTTGTTTTTTTATTCAACATAATACATATCTACGTAAAAAAATATTACAAATTTTTGAATAGATTAAGACTAATTTGTACAAATAAGATTAATATATTAATTTAACAATAAATTATTCTTTATAAAAATATCATATATTAAAAATTACAGTTATACTTAAAAATATAATTAATTACTTATTAACATTTTTCAGAACTCGAAGAGAAAAGATTTCAAGCATGGTTTGATGATTTTACACAAAACTATAATTCTAATAACCTACAGCCATATCCATCAACAAATTCAAAACACATACAACGTATTTATAAAAAATCTAAAAAGCAAACATTTGTTCCAAGTTATCCAGAGAAATTTAACGCTCCATTACCAATATATCCATTTTTTTTGAATCCTCAATATCAAGAAACTATTTACACCGACTACGTACCTTTACAGTATAATACAGCCACACATTTAATACCTGTGCCAGAATTAGTGTATCCACAAGAGGAAAGTCACCACCGTGTTATTATACCTTTCAATAACCCTTATCCTATTCTTTATGGACATTCAACAGTATCAGAGGGTTTAAAACCTGATGATTACTTTACATCAGTAGATACTACACACATTCCAATAACTAATCCTAATATACATTGCCCTTATGACATAAATAATGGCGATAGTATTGAACTATTGCATACTATTAATAATAATTCAGGAGAAAATGGTGACGAACATGCAGAAAATAACGTTCATTTACAAATATTGGAACCTATAAAAAAACCTACTCATGTTGGAATTGAGTCAAATGAAAATTTCAATAACTATGACAAACAAAAACCAGTAAAAGATTTAAAAATTATTGAAAATACTCCATCCCCCGATAAAATTGAAATACCATTGATATCAAATATTAATGAAAACCACGAAGAAATTGGAAGTCAAGTAGAAGAAAACCATGTTCACCCACAAGTAGTGTTATCAAGTTCAGAAAAACCTATACCAGAGGAATTTACCATTAAAAATCAGGAAAACAAGCCAATTACTACTCAAGATGGCAAAATAATTAACATTTCTCAAAATATTTCACCTAATGAAGAACATGTACAGCCGTCCAATATAGTTGAAGTAAATATTCCAACTCCATCTCCAACAATTAACAAATATACTTTGGGACCAAATTTATTTAATATACAGACTACACAAAATATACATGATCATTTAAATATTGGAGAAAATGACAAATTAGATGTAAGATTTCCTATAATAAATATTCCTTTATCAGAAAATTTAGTTCAAAATTCAAAAACTACAGAAGTGCCTTATGATTTAAAACAAAATACAATACAAATATCAAATGTAAAAGAAAAACTTCCAGAAACAAACACAAATGTTGCAGAAGCATTAAATAAAATCATAAAATCCGACTTCAAACCTGAAACAGAATTTTCAAACACTGATGGAAAATATGATGTTGGCGTATTTTTGTCAACAATATCATCTTTACCTAAAATTCAAGAAACAACAACATTTTCCTCTTTACCATCGGTTACTACAAAAATAATAGATGAAAAAGATTATTTAGAAAATAATAGACAAAAAGCAAACGACGAAGATGATTTATCCGATTTATCAATTTTAATTCCTTCATCTACTTCGTCGAGTATATTTCCATATTACCAATCACCACAAACAGAGGACAGTATAACAGAATCCTCTGAATTTTCAACTTTAACACCTTCCACACAAGCAACATATTACTTTTCAGTACCTCAAGAATTTAGTAAGGTTTATACTTTCAGCTCCACTACAACAGATGAAACTACTTCAGTTCCTACTATATCTTCAAATCAATATTACAGCACTGAACATTTTAAGTCAGCTGAAGCGTTACAGATTTCGAGCCTTAAAAAAGAAATTATTAATAATTCTTCATCAAATAAAAATACACACGAATCAAACATAAGCAGTTATAAAGACACAGTACAGCCATTGGAAAACTCAGATGATCACGATGACACCGATGACTCTGATGACTCCGATGACTCCGATGACTCCGGTGACTCTGATGGCCGAATAGAGCAAAAATTATCTAATCCTACTTTATCACCTGAATGCCAATCATCTCAAAATAGTAAAAATAACGATAACTCATGTTATAATAATGAGTATATGATTGGTCGATCTAGTGGTCATTCAAGACTATCAGCAAAAATACCAAAATTAATAATACCAACGAAAATTAAACCACCATTACACGTTTTACCCAAACACATTCTACCTAAAATACATCCAAAACTACATCATATTGGTCGAGATTCAGAAGACAATGAAGATAGAGATGAGCATAATACAGAATCACCCGAAATTGATGAGATTAACACAGCAAAGTTATACACTACAGTATCGAAACAATATACACCAAACAATCACGGCACGCCAGAACAAATAGAAATTCTATTGAAAAAATTATCCAAATACTTCAAACCTGAATACGAAAGCCAAATTTTGACAAAACAAAATAACTTACGAATGTTGTCCCATCCAGAAGATAAAGAATTAGTTATAATTCTACCGTGGGTATTGTCAGAACCATATAAAAATTTGGCACAAAAAAAACAAATAGAAATTATTAATTACAATGGGACTGAATAAAAAAATTGATAAATCATGTGAAAATATTTTTTATGCAAAATGTTTTTATAAAAAAATAAAAAAATCATTTCATTTTATTTGTATTTTGATTTGTTGTCAAAAATAATATAAATAAAATCGGATTGGAATATCCGGTGTACAAAAAATATAAATTAAAAGATTTCAAGATTTCCAGAATATTTTCATAATTTTAGTTGAAAAAAAAATTAAAACATTTTCTAATGTTCACACTTCTCTCGTACATCGATTAATCATTAAATTTTCAAAACTGAGCACACAATGAGATAGGCACAATGGAAAAATAATAAAAATACTTTATGATAAAATTAATACCTTTTTAGTTTCCGATCAAAATTGAAAACTACATATTAAATATTAAATACAAGTTGATAATTTCAACTACAAAAATTATTTAAAATTTTATTATTTCGCTAAATAACTAGAAAATTCGTTAGCATTAATAAGTTTGGATTCATAGTTACATTATTTTAATTTGAATCACAGTTGATAAATATATGCGACGTTATAAATTATATGGAACTTTAATGATTTATGAATAAATTATTTCTTGAAATCAAAATAAATTTAAAACAATACATAAATTGTCGTTAAGTAGAATTATGTTTAAAGTTAACATCGATAAGTCTACTTAGAGTTTGTTCAAGTATATTTCTATAAGGACTGCGATTTACATTTCCAGAAAAGCATTATTTGTAATCGCCAACACCATATTTATAGTATCTTCTGCATACTTTTGACATTCACGATAACTAACTATTGAAAGTTTCAACATTCTTAACTTTTACACATTCACTTGTTTTCTTATGTACAATAGATTCAGAAGTAAAAATTACACAAAAAGTTATAACATTGATAAGTAATATATTTCTTAATAATTGACTTTTACCCTGGTGCGTTTTAAATCAGTTTTCGTGTATATTTTCATTGCAAAAACAATACCTCGTTTCTCGAATACTTATCTCTGTTCGAAAACACTCAAAGTCCGTCAAAATTTATAAAAATATATAACTATATATTATTTTAAAACTTATATAAAATTAAAAACTATTTAAATTTATTCAAAAAAAATATTAAAACCATTGGCACGCTAACGCGAGGAGAGAGGATAATGGAGAAATAATCCTTCTCGCGAAAAATACGTTTTTAAGTTACAATTTTTAGAGAAGGTAGCAAAATAATTCCATATGTATATCTTCTATGATAAAACCAGAGAACGTCTATGCATTACACTTAAGCTTAATGGAAATATTTGTGAAAGGTAACACATGGAAAAAATTCTGTATTAAAAAGATACAAATTTTGTAACTTAATTTTTATTATTTCCGTGATGTAATAAATAATTTAAAAAACATAAAACATATTCTTTTCAGAAGTCAGTAAAATCTTGCGTTATATAATTTCTAGATAAAAAATTTCTCCTATTTAAAATAGTATCGACTTGAAAATATAAAATAAAAAAATATGTATAACTAGTTAATAAAAAAGAATATGACTGGTCAATAACAAATTTTTACACCTATTATAAAATACATAAACACTTTTATATTAAGGCAGGAGATTTAGTGTAGTTTAAAAATGCTTAGTGATAAAAATAAACAAATCGGCGCTTCACCTTCAATCGTAATAGTAAAGTTTTAATAAATTCCAAAATACTGATTAAAATATGTTTTGACCAGTAATGTTCTTATGTGTTAACCCTTTGAGTTTCAACTGCCATCTGTAGGGCATAACTTTTTTTAATCGTTTTTGATGTTACAAGCTATTAAATTGTCAAAAAATGATACAGTAAACACTTAAATATGCGTCTCGACGATATCTTTCAGAAGAAATTATTAAAAATGCAAATGGTTTATTACATTACGAGTCAATGTGAAAATAACGGTAGCACTGCGTAGACGTGGCATAGTTGGGACAAGTATAGATGATATCTGACAGTGATTAAAATCACTATCATAAGAAACGCTTCCGTGCAAATTTGTAGATAGCGTTTAATTTTAAGAAATTGTTGGTGGATTATTCCAAAAGCAAAATTAACTTCTATTTCATTCATTATTCCTAGTTAGTAGTTCTGTGATTTATAAGTATAATATATGATAAAATATCTATTATAGAAATTAAATATAGTATGAAATTGATGTTTAATAACTTAGTTTTGTAATTTTTACAGAAAAATTATAAAATAGTTGTTACATTTATGGCAAACGTGTATACAAATTTAAAACTTTTCAGAAGATAATTTGTGATTAATTATGAACAAATGGTATACAAGGAATTTTCATCAGAGTCAACATATATACCTTTCTAAACCCATTTTTCGTGCTGATTTCAAATATGCAATTAGATTTTTTCTATCACCACTAATTTTTGATATTATAATAATTAGCTAAAAACGAGTATTAACACATAAAAAAATAATCAAAATTATTATATAGGTAAATAGGTGAAACTAAGCACAGCATATTTGAATATCAGTATATTATAAAATACAATAGGATATAGTTTATACGGAATAACGGAATATAGTTCTGAATATATCAATTTTAGCATCTATTTAAACACCAAAAGTTATATAGAAATGATTACTAAGACTTATATTAAAACGATTTATTACAATTATTACAAAAAAAAAAAGTTCCTGATCACATATTAATATTAAAAATTACAATTTTTTATACTCATACAATTTTTTATTTAATGAGGTAGACACTAAACTAACAAGTTGAGTTGAAATAGTGTTTAAAAATTCAATATTTTTAAATTATAAATTTCCTAAAAATCAACTTTAAAGGATCAAAAAAAAATTATAAAGGAATTGTAATTTTACGCAGATTCTTTTTTAAATTAATAATAATTTGATATTATATTTGTTTTTAATACAATTTTTTCATGCGTAAATATTTGTCTAAATTTCTAAAATTAAAGGATTTTTCTAATATTTGAAGATTATGAGTTGAACAAGATTAAAATTGTATTCTTTGAAGGTATTAGTCAATTAGTCAAGTGAAAGCTTAAAAAATGAATGACAGACACAAAAACCAAATAGTAAAATATTGTAATATGTGAATAAAATATTCCTTCTTACAAGGGAACAGTACAGTGATTGAGTTCTTGATATTCATTGAATATTTTAATTCAATGTTATTTATTATTATTCATTTTTAATTTTTTTTCCACCTCAAAAAAGGATTAAGAAAAAAATTCAAAAAGTATTTTAGACTTTTGTAAGGTATTTTAAAATAAACAAAAAAGTAAGTTAAAAAGTTCTATTTTTTATACATACGTTTCAAGTTTTTAACTTCCCATATGAGGGAAATTTGTCCAATTTCAAAAAAGTATGTCGGATAAAAGAGGTATATATAATGTATTTAGAAAAAAAAATTAACGTTGATACACACATTTTTCAAAATTTTATAGCCATTAAAAGTTGAAAATATAAAATCGAAAACTTTTACACAGTAATAACATGTTTTTCACTACGGCAGCCATTTGCACATAAAAGATAAGTCGTTGGGACAATTTTTTTTTTTTTAATTTATGATACATAATGTACTATAATCTTTAATTAAATAATATGTGTTTAAAGGTCGCAGTACTTCCGGGACATTTGCAAAAGTTAAGGTGCTATTTTGAATCCCTCTGAAGGTGCGTAAAAGGTCAGCATTGCAAAAAAATGATATTATAAAAAGGACAATACCTAAGGTTATTATATAAATAAAAATTTGTTTTTATTGGTTAATTTTTGAAAAAATTATGGCAGTTTTAAGAAGAAAAAGTGATAAAAATTACCGATTCTGAAAATCGTAATTTTTTTGATGATTTTCCCCATTTATAGGAAGCGAGAAAAATGTTTTCAATTTTTAAGGGCAATGTCTTCAACTAGGTACAATTTATGATCTTTTGGCGTATCATTGAAAGAAATTGGTAATTAAGAGCTGAGATAAAGTGGCAAAAAAAACACGTCATAATAAAATTAATTCCTTCTCATCTTCGTATCAAAACTAAAAAACGAATATATTTATTTCAGAAAACTTTTATTTATGATGAGCTGATCACATAGATCTTTATAAAATTTCTGTAACTTAACTAGAAATTAATTTTCGACTCAATAGCTTAAACAGATTAAAGATAAATGTATGCTTCGATTTAAAAAAAAAACTTAAATTGATAGTNGCATTGCAAAAAAATGATATTATAAAAAGGACAATACCTAAAGTTATTATATAAATAAAAATTTTATAAAATTACTTAACTAGAAATTAATTTTCGACTCAATAGCTTAAACAGATTAAAGATAAATGTATGCTTCGATTTAAAAAAAAAACTTAAATTGATAGTATTTTAAATAGGAAACAAGGGAAGTAACAATATTTTTTTCTGGAAATTATAGAATGTAAGATACAATTAACTTCTATAAATAAACTAAAATATGTTATATACTATTAAAGATATTGTGTGTAACATAGTTAATCAATCACCATGCAAACACCTTTCTATAATAAAATTTTGAAGGGAATTACAGTATTTCACTTCTTCTCTATCTTCGATTAATTATATTATAATCTTTCTGTTGCAATCTTAATTTTATTGAATCAAGTCACTATCACTGCAACAATTTATAATGAGATACTCACAAAATGTCATATTTCTTTTAAACTTAAAGCAAGGCTATTTGCGTTTTAAATTAGTTTTATCACTGATTTAAACATAATTATATCTTACATTTTTTACATTTCATTCTTTAAGAAAAATACATGTTTTCCTTATATATGATAAAAAAAATTATATACAGAATGATCGGTTTATCATAAACTGCACAATTACTCTCAAAATAAATACAATATTGAAAAAATAAATTTATAATTTCTTTTAGTTGCATATATTTTTTTATTTATCAGCTAATAATTACTTTTTAGAATCATCCCTTATAACTGAAAGGGGTGCCAAACATTTTTTTTTAAATGGGAACATGCATATTTAACTAGCTTATAAAATATCGAAAACAACTTTTGGAAGTTATTGTCATTTTTATATCTAAGCAGGACGGGGCGATCGTTCG